TCTAATCAAACTTTCTAAAAGAGACAATTCCAACATAACCTATCAATGTTGCGGCAAGCTGCAAAAGCAATGAGAATCCAATCCGAAAAGGCAAAGGCTTCCCCAGTAGAGAAGTGAAAATGAGTACGTACCTTGAATTAAGTTGTTGAACCCTCATTTGCCATCGTGAACCTAGCCAGGAGTTCCTATTCTGCTGCTAGATACCAATCCCTAACAACCAAAAAACATACATAAGTAACAGATTAATAGTAGCAAAATATACTAAGAGCTTCAACCATGTTATATTTTGATAAAAGTCAGGTCACATACCTTAGGTGTGAGGACGAGAAGTTTGGTAGCAATGGCTAGGAGCTGAACTATAATGAGCGAACCAAAACCAAATAAAAGGATGAAGGCAATGGCGAGGAGATGGATTTTTTCAGCCGGCTCAAAATGAAACCCAAAGCAGGGGATAGAACTAATTGAAAGGAAGGAAGAGTCAGCAACGAGCAGAACCCATTCATGGTTAGAGCGAGTCTCCATAAATGAAGAAACAAAGCCTGAACAGAGAAAATGCTAGGCGTACCTCAAGAGCAATGTGTAGTGATGAACATATGCTTTCTGATTTCAGCTTGATCTACTTTCATTGTCCCAATCCCGCTGCAATCCTTCTCCTCCTATTACCACTGGATCCCTTTCTAACCTTTGTCCTCCCGATCGATCTACTTCACCAGTCCCAGAAGACGGCAAGAGGGATGCTCCATTTTATAGGCGAACAAGATGGAAGGAAAGCAATGAGATGGTATTCTTGATCGCCAGCAATTTTGGGAAGGCAGAAGCCTAGCCGGGGGTGAGCGAAACTGTTTTCTGGAACTAGGGATTTTGGGAAGGTAGACGAGAAGAAGGAAGCAAATCGTATTTGTTGAGATAGGGGTTTTGGGGAATCACAAAAAAATCTAAGTCTTCTGTTAATTTTATTTTTTTATTTAATCATTTTTACTTCCTTGGGAAACGTTAGTTTTGGAGGCAAAACGAAAAGGATTGGAGCCAAGATGTTTTTTAGTTTACCGCCAAGAATTTGTTTGTCTGTCACGGGAATCTTGGAACTTACCATCATGGGCTAAAAGCCCATGACTAATCAAAGCTCTCCGGCCCAATTTATCATGGGAATTATTAGCCGTGATGGTAGTTAACCCTTTGATCATGGGAAATTTCCCGTAATTAAAATCCCGTGACCGAAGATCAATTTTCCTGTAGTGACCACCTAGTGTAAAAATCCACCTCGTTGTAGATTTATTATCACTAGCACTTGTTTTCCAACTAGCATCAAAATACCTCGTCTCTAATGATTAGCTATGATTACCAGCGATCTAGAAAGTTTGCATACAACAAATGCAATGTCGGGTCTGGGTCAACCCATAGCATACTTCAAATTTCCTATAGCACTAGAATACTCGACTTTTAGCACTACCCTTCCCTCATTCGCACAAAGTTTAAAAGAAGTATCATAAGGGGTGTTACCGTGTTAGCTTCTTTTATGTCCAAATGCTTAAACTTCTTGAGCATCTTCTCGACATAATGAGATTGACAAAAAGCAGAACCCCCACTATGTTTCTTTACTTTGATGCCCAAGATAGTATCAACCTCTCCAAGATCTTTCATTTGGAAACAAGAAGTTATATACTCCTTATTCCTTTCATGTTAGTCCCTATTATTAATATATCATCAACATAAAAGGAATATAATGACAACATACTCTTTCGTGCACTTTAAGTAAATGCATTTATCAGCTGTTATGAGAAAATCCATGGGGCAGGACAACGAAATCAAATTTCTCATGCCATTGCTAAGGTGCTTGCTTTAGACCATACAAGGACTTAAGCAACTAAACATCTTTCTTTCATTTTCAGGCAACACGATCTCTTCTGGTTGCTAAATGCCCACTTCCTCGTCTAACTCACCATTTAGAAATGTCGTCTTAGCATCCATTTGATGTACAAACATATTATAAATACAAGCCAAAAGCCAAAAATACTCTTATAGAAGTGATTCTTGCAACTGGTGTATAGGTTCCAAAGCAACCTACTCCAACTTTTTGCCTAAATCACCCATGGTTCTTTCTCGGGATCGCCTACCTACCAATGGTTGTAGCCGTTGTAACCAATCTCGCTTTGAAAGTATGTATTGATCCATTAGTATTATACTTAATCTGAACCCATTTATTTCCAATAGCTTTAGATCCTGGAGGCAGATACACAATTATCCAAGTCTTGTTCATTATTAATGAATCCATCTCATCACTTTTGAAGTTCATTACTTCCTTGGTTGTTGAACGTTTGATTTGTGGTAAAAATTGGCTTTGATCAAATACTATTCCAATTGATATGGAAGAGAAGTTTGAGGAAATTGAAAAAATTGAGCAATGTATGAATTTGATCAAAAAATTGGTTTTAATATTTTATCATTTGATTAGACTATTATTAATTTATTTGGCATTTTGTTAATTTTGCAGAGTTAAAAGGAGATTTGCTTGGATGAGTGATTGGGTTCATGATTATTGAAAATGATGTGTTTGAGACTATGATCAATGTAGTTGATGAATATTAAAATGGTGTACTTTTTAGATGTAATTTGTATTTTGATTATTTGATTTGGATTTCTTGTAAGGTAATCTGTACCTCTTAGATGTAATTTGCATTTTGTTTATTTGATTGGATTTATACGTTAGGTAATTTATACTTCTTAGATGTAATTTTAATTTTTTTATTTGATTCTGGAATTAATTTTAATTTGTCTGAATTAATTAGGATTTTTGTAAATTAATTTTGACTAAATTAAATATTTTAGAATTTATTAGAATTTTTCGTAATTAAATTTGAATTTTCTGGATTAGTTTTAAAAAAATAGAATTTATTAGATATAATTGCAGATAATTTTTTTTTATAAATCTAAATTTACACAATAAATAAAAGCCAAATGAGAAAACTTGAAGCCTCATTTCAAATTTCCTGCATCCAGAGTGAAAGTAGGAAGGACATGTTGGTCTTAACAATTACTTTTTTTTATTCATTAAAAAGACGTATACTAGGATTCGAACCATGACCACTTTAAAGAAAAGCAAAGATCATAAACAATCACACTAAGTACATTTGTTGTATCTTTTTAAATTAAAAACATATAATAGCAGAGAGGAAAAAACCCTTTCCCCATTTCAAATTCCCTGCTCCATGAGCGTTTGTAGGAAGGGTATAATAGAGAGTGTCAATTTTTTTCTTTTTCCTCTGTGGAACGGGCCAACTTACCGTACACATGCGGATTTAAACGGGTCCAGGAGTGCCAATTTTTTTCTTTAAGTCCTTTTATTTCTCCATGGTGGTAAAATATATATATGAAAAGGAAAAAACAATACTAATTTTTATTGCTAAACAGAAAAAAATTAACAATAAACTAATGCATGAATTCTAATGGGCTTACCGCTAATCATAAAATAAAAGAGTTAAATGGGCCTGACCTACACGGGATTTGCCCATCAAGTAAAACAAATGAACATCATGGGTTTGTCATTCTAAAACAAGCTATTTTCTCTAGCATATTATTTTATATCTTAGTGGCTAAAATATAATGTATTTTAAAGTTATTCAATGGTTCAACCTCGACCAACTCAATTAGTCCAATTTTTATCATTTTAAATATATTTTATCTAATTATTTGATATCATAATGATTAAATTATAGTATATATTATAGGGAATCGTTTGGTATTTGTTAGTAAAAAACTAAACATAAAGATCTATTTGGTTATTTTTAACATTAAAACGATCCTAAACATTTTCAGTTTCCTTTCGAAATTCTATAGTTTTATTCCCGAATCAGTGATGTGCAAATGGTGAATTGCAGTCATCTCTTTTCTTTCATTATTTTTTATTTTCAAATATAAAGTTTAAAAGTAAAGAATAATTAGAGTTTGGCATGGGTCGGTCAAATAGGCTGAATTTCAAGTTTTGGCCCGTTTTGATCAAGTCTAATTTATAATCACATGGTTCCCTGATACCCTATAAAAATCTCGATCCAAACCAGTTTGGCAGGTGAGTCCGTGTTTACCACCATTTTCTAGAGATACAGGAACGGTGGTTCCTATCCCCAATCGTGTTGTTCATTCTTGATTTCTTTAGATTTTATCATGGCTTGGCAAAAAACCAGAAAGCACAATGATGAGAAGATGAAAGTTTTATAAAGCAAACTAATCGGCCAACGGGCCGAGTAAAAGCTAGCAATGATTGTGAGATGCTCATTTCCCGAAAACGGGCGGGATCGACGATTTTTTATTCGATTTTCTGGAATTCGGTTTCTATAAAACTTACTCCACCTCATCATATTACCAGAAACAATATTGTTTCACAAGGTAACAGGTACTTGATTTTGGTTCATAAGGCTGATTTTTTATTCATTGCATCATTCATGTCTCTTTTCTACTAAAATTCACTATTTTTATCACATGTTTCCCAAAAAAAACTATGCAACAATAAACTATACACCCCATTACATTATCAAATTTCATACCTCATCTTCGTCCGGCCAAATGGTCGGGGCCACGCTAGTTTTCTGATATTCAATTGGAATGTTTTGAAATTAATTTGATATTAAATAATTAAGTGGGCTAGTATTGTAAAAAGAGAGTTGGGCCGACTCTATAGCTCTGCCTGGCCCGATCCAGCAGGACCAGACAGGGCCGAAGGAGAATTAGGCCGGGTCGTGCCAGGCTAAATGTTTATCCTACAGAGCTGAATTCGTTAGAATAGTCGCAGGGCCATGCTGGGTTTGGCCCGGTTTCACGCCTAAATCCAATTCCCATTTCTCGGGATACGGAAAAACTCGCATTCTTCTGGTGGCTGATGTCGGCCGTGGAATGTGATGGTCGAAGATATTTGATTTCATTATTCTGTTTTTTTCTGTTGTTCTTTTGTCCGTTCCACTTGTGTTAACAATCGTGCAGAATCAGTTAACTCCCTCTTTCCGCGTTAGCCTTATAAAGGTATCGGAGCCACCGATCCCCCATTGTTCTCTGGCATCTCCGCATCTCCACGAGGCATCTTCTCTTCCCTTCGCACGGTTGCATCCACTTCCATTCTTTCGTTTCTTTCTGTATAATTGGCTCACAATTCTGCCGTCCTCCTCACCTTTACAATCACCAACGAACACGGCCTTCGGGAAGCTCCAGATGTGTCTGTCTCAAGTTGTGCGGTGAAGGTGTTTGTCTTAATGTCAGTGTGATCTATTCGCCTTGTGCTTGGAACTCTCGTCTCTCGTCCTTCTCTCGATTGATTCGTTCTCTCCTCTCTTTCGTCGCCAACTTTGTACGAACTCGCCCACTGATTCTGGGTCGATAATACCGAGATTATTTGAGGACTTTCCCCATCTGGGTCCTTGTTCTCGTGTGGGTTCTCCAATCAGGGTAATCTATTCTGTGTTTCCTCTTCTGGGTATCACTTCTCTGCCTTTACTTTCTCCTCATCTATGAAAAAGTTCCTCTTTTTTTTCTTTCTTTGGGTGTTAATATTTCACGTTCTTGGATTCCTCAAATTTTGGGATCTCAAATTCTTGTGTTTGGTTTGATAGAAAATGGATCTGGACGGTGATCACTCGGAAAATATTTCCGAAGCTACCGAGCAGGACCAATTAGTCCCTTCGACGATCACTTCTGAAATGGCGACAACGGAGAAGCATCAAGGGAGCTCGCGAGGAGGGAAAGGGAAGAGGCTGTGGAAGAAAGTGAAATACCAGCTGGTGGAGTACCATTCTTTGCCCGCATATTTAAGGGACAACGAATACATTCTTGGCTACTACAGAGCTGAATGGCCAATGAAGCAGATTCTTCTCAGCATTTTCACCATTCACAACGAGACTCTGAACGTTTGGACGTAAGTTATTCTCTCTTCCTGGCCTGCGATTGTTGTATTTTCTCTCTAGCTTCTGATTGGTTACTGGTGACTTCTAATTCTTTGTTCAGGAGCTTGATCTGATTCTTAGAATTGTGATGAATTTTCCTATGTAGCGTGAGGTTGAAGTAGCTTGATATGGAATAGGTTGCTGGCGGTGAGGAATATCTAGTGAATTGACTTTTGCTATTTCCGCTTGTTGCTTTGGTGATACAGACAGTAGTTTAATAGGTTCTGGTGACAATGAAGTCCCTTTTTTCTACTTATGTATTGATGGTCAATTTCCTGCCTGCTAATGTAGTACTAATGATTCTTTCACTTGATTTTAGGTTCACTTGAATAATTACTTACTCTGTTTCAACTAAAATTCTACTTGATGATACTATTATTCTGCGCAGGCATTTGATTGGCTTCTTCCTTTTTCTTGCACTGACCATCTATACAGCAACAAAGGTTCCAAATGGTCATTCTCTGCAACTTTCAGATGTTCTGAAAGCCGATTTGCACAAATTGCACGCCTGCCTACCTTCTTTGCCAAACATGCATGATCTTCATAGACTCAGGGATGAGCTCAAGACGACATTGCCTTCAATGGATTTTTCAGGATGGCATGTTATGGAACTTCTTTACAATTGTTTGCCTGAGCGATTCTCCCATGGCAACCAAACTGATGTTTGTCGCTTGGTAATTCTCCATCTTCCGTTGGTGCTTCAAAAACTTCCTGATAATTGATTACTTTTTGCAACTAGTCACACTAATGAATTTTGTACATGGCGGCTCAATTCGGGTAATATGCTGAAGGGGGTAGGCCATACACAGGCTAATATCATTGGGTCGCATCCCTGCGATCTCAGTCCCCTGAATGTGAGACATATTTTCAAATAATGTTACGGCCTGCAGCTGAGGTCGTAGAATGGCCATTATTCAGGCGGTATCAGCATGCACTGATGCACACACCCACTTGAGGATGTTGGCAAAATTATCAATAACTTTGCATGAGCATTGTTCTAGAATAGAAGCTAGTGTTACATTATCTTCAGTATTTTATGTTCTGGTCTTCAGAATCTTCACCTAATTCCTGATTTCCAACTAAATGCAGCGGAGCATGACAGGCGATGTCGCAAACATCATAGCACCACTTATGGTGAGACCTATAACCAGGTGGCCATTTTTTGCTTTCATGGGAGGGGCAATGTTCTGCTTACTGGCCAGTAGCATATGCCACCTTTTATCTTGCCACTCGGAGCGGATATCATACATCATGCTTCGAGTTGATTATGCTGGAATTGCAGCCCTGATAGCCACATCATTTTATCCACCAGTATACTATTCTTTCATGTGCATGCCCTTCTTCTGCAACCTCTACTTGGGGTTCATAACCCTATTCGGCATTGCCACGGTCATGTTTTCGTTACTTCCAGTTTTCCAAAAACCCGAGTGGCGTACGGTTCGTGCATCCCTCTTCTCTTTCATGGGTCTATCTGGAGCACTACCAATCCTTCACAAGCTCATCTTGTTCTCACATCAACCTGAAGCACTCCACACTACTGGATATGAAGCTCTGATGGGACTTTGCTATGGACTTGGAGCAGTTGTGTATGCAACAAGGGTCCCCGAACGATGGATGCCTGGGAAGTTCGACATTGCAGGGCACAGTCACCAACTCTTCCACGTGTTAGTGGTTGCTGGAGCTTATGCTCATTACCGAGCAGGGCTAGTTTACCTGAAGTGGAGAGACCTCCATGGATGTTAGTGGTGGCTGGAGCTCATGCCCAGTACTGCGCAAGGCTAGTATACCTAAAGTGGAGAGACCTCCATGGATGTTGACGAGAAGAATGTGCAAGTGTTAATTGTATCTTATGGTCTTAGTAAATGAGACTTTGTAGGAAAATGAAACTATGACTAGACGACAGATGGAAGTGTAAAAGTCTGTGAGTTAGAGATCCAAAATATAGAAATTGTAGCAAGAGCAGAATGAATGTGCGAAGCCCCTTGCAACTGCAGCCCGTTTCATGCTAAATTGGCCGAGGCTGCTGGTAATGGCACGAACTGCCAATTGTGTAGTTTTCATTGCTGGTTTTCTTTAATGGTTAGCAGGTTCTCTCAATGGGGACTGATAGCTTGATCATTACCAACATAACGGTGTAAAAAATCAGATGTGCTATCTTGCTTTCATTGAGATTTGGACTCCAGTGATATCCTACTGTTTGACTTCATTACAATTTGATGATGATATTCTCGTCCAAACATTGGCTTATGGTTGTGTATACTTGAATGAATGGATCGTGTGGAGTAACTTACAAATTTTTTTTTTTTTTGACAAAATAGTTAACTTACAACTTGCTGGTGGGATTTTTGTGTATAAACCTGGATCTCTACTGCACCTTGTGGTTACTGCTGATACTTGGTTGTGTAATATTATTAGTAGGAGAAGTGACAGCATGAATCAGTCTTCTCCCTTGTTTTGTGCATTTCAGCCTGCTGATAGACTTATTCTGGAGCTTTATGGATTTGGTGTGATGCTAGTAGTAGACTTAAGTAGAGGGTATCAACTGAATAGTGTGGAAATCTACATTATAGGAGGTAGTTACTCCTACTGGTTGCCTACCAAATTTGGCTTTTGGTGGTCTATGCTTGAATGAATGTTTCTCTGAACCTCTATATGTGTGTGCAGGATCTTGTGGTTGCTGCTTGTACATGGTTGAATAATAGTATTAGTAGTGTAATTCTTAGCATGAATTGAGTGTTCTCCCTTATCTGATCTTTTAGTGCCTGCTCCTTTTGAGTTGCAACTTTTGGACAGAGAGTTTCTTGCGAGTCAAACTGATTTGCTGATTCATGCTGGTGTGTTGGGGCAAAACTTTGACTCGGGTTGTCTTTACTTGAATGACAGGAACCCTTGGGGGTGTTGGTGGGATTTGATTGGATAAAATCTATATAGCTGTATTGAAGCTTGAGGTTACTGCTAGTCCATTAACAAACCTTTAATCGAACCCAAAGCTTCCGAACAGCCACTAACGAACCCGTCCACCTTGAGTTGACTGTGTTTGTGGATGTCTCACCAACCGCATATATATGTGTATTATTTCTTTGTTGGTGCTTACCGTTTCTGATTGATGCTTCTTAACCCATTATGACGCATGGAAGAGTTAAGAGAACCGGAAGGCGGAAGCTCGCACGAGACAAAAACTTTACAAACCGACAAATTTTAACGATATTAGCGGAGATTAATGCAGGAAAGTAAGGTCTAAAAATATGCCCAAATCAGAGCAGAGCTCCTTCGTCAACAACTGAAAGCCAACAACGGAATTGTTTTTGGAAAAAACAAGACCCGGAAACGGAGTCCAATATCATTTTATTTTTAACAGGGGAAGTGTCGGTCGGTACTCTCTCTCTCTCCCCAATCCCGCAGACTCTGCCTTCCTTCCTCCATCACGTGTAAAGCAGTAAACGTGCCATTACGTCCAAGATCCCACACCCATCCGCCATTCACGCACTCCACTCTATTTTCTTAACTCACTCGCCACTCCGCTTTCTTTTCCTCTCCATTAATCCCAATCCCTCTTTCCTCCTCCCCCAAAAAATTCTTCCCATCCTCTCTCTGACGCAATTCATCGAACACATAGACCGCGTCCACAATTCCTCCTTTCTTCTCCTTCCACCGCCGTTCGTCTTCTTTCAGACCGCCAGCACCCTGGGTCTCCCACTCCCTCTCCCTCTCCCAACAGTCTTACTGAGATCCCTCCGCCGGGAACTGAGTTTTCTCTTCGCTTACCTACCGGAGGAATCTGATCCTGCGATTCGACATTTATTGTTGATGGTTTTCGTTCTGCATTAGAGAATTGCGAAGGGTTATTCGTCCAGATCTGAGTACTCCCTAATGGCGAAATCTTCCACCTCTTCGAGAAACAGGCCGTCTCCTCTGACAAACGATGGCTGCCTCTACATGGGCGGTGCCGTCTTCGCCTTCTTACTCGTCTGGTGCCTCTGGTCCTACGCCGGCCCCGCCGACTCCGGCGGCGGCAACAGCTTCATGCCCAGGGTATTCAGCGACATCGGCTGCACCCGCCCGGCTCCGAATCTCAGATTCGACCCGCCCGACTCCACCTTCTACGACGACCCGGAGCTGCGGTACTCGATCGAGAAGAAGGTGACCGGGTGGGACGAGAAGCGGAAGGAGTGGCTGAAGCGGCACCCGACCTTCGCCGCGGGTGCCAAGGACCGGCTCGTGATGGTGACCGGCTCGCAGCCGAACCCGTGCCGGAACCCGATCGGCGACCACCTCCTGCTCCGGGCGTTCAAGAACAAGGTGGATTACTGCCGGATCCACGGCTACGACGTCTTCTACAACAACGTCCTCCTCCACCCGCGGATGAAGAGCTATTGGGCGAAGCTGCCCGTGGTGAAGGCGGCGATGCTGGCTCACCCGGAGGCCGAGTGGATCTGGTGGGTTGACTCGGACGCGTTGATCACCGACATGGAGTACAAGCTTCCCTTGGACCGCTACAATTACAAGGGCCACAACTTGGTGGTTCACGGCTGGTCCAAGATGATCTACGAGGAGAAATCATGGACCTCGCTAAACGCCGGCGTTTTCCTCATCCGGAACTGCCAGTGGTCCATGGACTTCATCGACGTTTGGGCCAACATGGGCCCGATCAGCCCGGACTACAAGAAATGGGGGGTGATCCAACGGTCGGTGTTCAAGGACAAGCTGTTCCCCGAATCGGACGATCAATCGGCCCTGATTTACTTGCTCTTCAAGGACCGGAGATTGACGGACAAGATTTATCTGGAAGGGGAGTACTACTTCGAAGGGTATTGGGTGGAGATCGTGCCGACGTACGCCAACATCACGGAGAAGTACACGGCGATGGAGCGGGAGGACGGGACGCTGCGGCGGCGGCACGCGGAGAAGGTGAGCGAGCAGTACGCGGCGTTTAGGGAGCCGCACCTGAAGGACGCCGGGAACGGGCGGTGGAGCTGGCGGCGGCCGTTCATAACGCACTTCACCGGGTGCCAGCCGTGTAGCGGGGACCACAACCAGATCTACGCCGGGGAGAGCTGCTGGAGCGGGATGGTGAAGGCGCTGAACTTTGCGGATAATCAGGTGTTGAGGAAGTATGGGTTCATGCACCCGGATCTGCTGGATTCCAATACGGTGACGGAGACGCCGTTTGATTATCCTGACGAAGGACCGTGGTGATTAGATGAAAAAGAAGGTAGAGAACTGGTAGAATTGCAGGAGCGAAAAGCTTAAAGCTTTGCTGGATTGTGTAAATTATATGCTTAGGGGCTCTCAGGCGATAATAATAAAAGAAGTTATCCGATATTTGTGTCTAGTGGCTAAAAAGCAAAGGTTAGTGGAGTGGAGTACTGGAGTTTGATCTTTTTGAGTGGTAACCAAATGGGAAAAAAGCAAAGGCCGTGGCGTCGAATTCCTTCAGACCCGAAGAAAGGATTGGGAATGTTTGAATGATAAGATACGTCAGAGTTGAGAATAATTTGAGATAAGTCTGGAAAGAGTACATATTTGGCATAATTATCAACCAATGGAAATAGCAAATTTGAACTCGTTAATGGTGAAAGCGAAGAGCAACATCTATGTTGTAGATCACTAGATTGATGGATTAATGGATAGATCAAATTGACTAGTTGTTCGTGGATTGGATCAAATAGATTAGTGACTTGGATTTTTGTATCAAATTGCATCCAAATATCCAACCAAACATTTGGGGAAAGTGCCACATGAAGACACATTGTCTCTCTCGACATTATCCTTAGAAAAGATTTACTTTTGACAAAATCATAACCTTCAAATCTCTCTCAAAATGTGTTGACGAAAAGTTTTGAAGGCGATCCATTCCAATTCTCTCTCCAAATTGGACACTCATAACCTTCATACTTCAGTTTAGTGATGACAATTTGCACAAGCCCAGTTGGCTATTACCTGACCTGACATGCGCTGGGCGTAGTGGCGGATCCTGGGGGGTGGCCAGCCCGGGTCATGGCCCAGCCTTCCTCTAGATCCGGAGCTAGTATAACCCTTATAAGTTTATCGATTTTAGTCATTCGGCCCAGTGTTATTTTATAATAAAATTGTGTGTAATTAGAAAAATGAGTCAGATGAACATATTCAAATCGCAACTCAAAATTTAGCCTAGAAATTCTAGCTCCAATGATTCTCGTCTAAAGAAAAACAAACAATGAAACCGAAATAGGGATGGACACACAATACAAATTTTGATTAGCCGATTGATTTGTCTAATGTTGACATTGGCCATTTCAACAAACACTATGGAGAGATCCTTTTCAATAATGAAAAAGGTGAAAAATAATTTGTGCAACCAAATGAGCGATGAATTTCTCGCAGATTGGTTAACTATTTATTTGAAAGAGAGTAATATGCTCTTGGTATGGGAGGAATTTTACAATGCTATATAACATTGGTGCTAAAAGTTTTTGTTTTTATAACGTTATGGTACAATTTCATATTGTACATATACTCTTCAAGTTGTACCATAACATAAATGTACAATTCCTTTATGGTACAACCTAAACTTATACAGTTAACGTTATGGTACAACTTCAAATTGTATATTAAAGCACCAATACTTTATAGCATAGTAAAAGTGCTCTTGGTATGGATGTATACTCCATTATTGATGATTCAATATATTAAAAGATCGATGTGTACAATTTATAATGATATGCGACCCAGCGCTCTACTATGTCCTGGATCCGCCGCTGCGTGGGTGGGATGTGGGTACTACTTCTGACTTGTCCCGCCTTGTCTTGCTCCGTTCTTGACCTATCATGCCTTGATTTGTCTCAATATTTCTCCTATTTTGACTTATTCTAACTCATATTTTCACCCAATGATACTTTAGATATGTGCAAGACTTTATCTTATAACTATTTTTTTTATCGGTATAATTGGACTCCATTAATCTATCTATTATCTTTATTTTTCATTTACGAATATTTTTTCCCCCTGTTCTATCACTAAAAATAAACATTCTCTTTAAATTAGATATAAGAATGGATCGACGTTATGTCCCGATTGTAATCTGTATGGGTATTACCTGTCAGGAAACTGGCAGGAAAGAATTGGATTGAATGCGTGATTAGATCACTCTCCTTAGCGTGTTATTTGCCCCCACTACAAATTGCTGGTAGGCTCGAGCAAACCACCCCCAGGAGTCCCTTCAATTTTAAGTATGGAAGCAGCAATCTTGCAGACTTCTGTGTTTATGAAATAGAGAAGGAAAACGGGAAGAAGAAGTAATCTCACGTCATCAAAAGAGTTATGGCAATCCTCTATTTATACATGTGAAAACTGGAAGTTACCTCCAAAGAGACACAACCTTTCACAGAAAAAGGTAGTTACCTTTCCCGAAAGGACACATCCTTTCACAAAAAAAGGTAGTTACCTTTCCCTAAAGGATACCTCTTTTTACAATATTCAAATGCTAATTAATTAATATAATAATTAATAAATTAATTAAACTGCCAAAAAACTCAATTCTTATCATTTTCTTCTCCCATCAATGTGGTATTACAACTCTATTGACTAACTCTAACAATCTCCCACTTAGTCAACAGGAGTTGAGACTACCTGCCTCGAACAAGTAACGCATACATAAAGGTATCTTTTCGATTTGAACCTTTACCTAGTGTAAGCATCTCAAAGTTGATAACGAATCAGTGACGGGCTTAAGCCTAGGAGTCACGATCCAAAGCTATTACCGGAGACGCCACACACGTACTTGTCTCTTCTCTAAACCACAACCACCAACAAGGGTAACACAATTATGGCCATGTGCTGATCCTGTTGCATGAGCATATACAAAAGTTGACCTCCACTTTTGTTAGAGCGACACCACTCTTAATGCTCACATATGTGACATTCTAAATGAATTCATTTGAGATGCTTACACTAGGTAAAGGTTCAAATCGAAAATATACTTTTATGTATGCGTTACTTGTTCGAGGCAGGTAGTCTCAACTCCTGTTGACTAAGTGGGAGATTGTTAGAGTTAGTCAATAGAGTTGTAATACCACATTGATGGGAGAAGAAAATGATAAGAATTGAGTCTTTTAGCAGTTTAATTAATTAATTATTATATTTATTAATTAGCGTTTGAATATTCGGGAAAGGTAACTACCTTTTTTGGTGAAAAGATGTGTCCGTTCGGGAAAGGTAACTACCTTTTTTCTATGAAATGTTGTGTCTCTTCGGAGGTAACTTCCAGTTTTCACATGTATAAATAGAGGATTGCCATAACTCTTTTGATGACGTGAGATTACTTCTTCTTCCCATTTTTCTTCTCTATTTCATAAACACAGAAGTCTGCAAGATTGCTGCTTCCAGACTTAAAATTGAAGGGACTCCTGGGGGTGGTTTGCTCAAGCCTACCAACAATTTGTAGTGGGGACAAATAACACTCTAAGGAGAATGATCTAATCACACATTCAATCCAATTCTTTCCTACCAGTTTCCACATTACCCGACCTGACCACGCGAGCATTGAGAGCCCGGCTCGCCAGATTGCCATCAACTCGAGTTTGTAGGGAAATATGTCACAACAATAACCACTCCATGCCACCACCATTTATTCCAGTCAGACCCGACACCATTATTTCCCCATCTTTAGTTTTTCCCCCCCATTCCTTTCACCTCTGGAAACCATGTGCGAGCTGCCATCTTTTACTTCTTGTTTCTTCTGTAAGCACCATGTATATACATACAGTGATACAGAAATATAGTCACTCTCATGCAATGTAATCAATTGAATGTGTGGGTTTGAGATTCCATTAAATATGAATCATTACCCACCGTTTCTTCACTTTTTCATGTCAAATGGGGGTTATCAATTGGTAGGTTAGAAAGTCGTGACTAGGTGAAGGCAGAAATGATTAGTAAGTAAGAGGAACCAATTACAAAAGCAGTGCTTTGGCTAAAACGGGCAAGATTAGGCATAGCCCTTGGCTAATTCGGATAAGCGTTTAGTTTATTGGCAGAGCCTGCAGAAACATCTCATTTCATGCATAATCCGCAGACTTTGCTCCCGTTTTCTAATTTCCAGATGATGATTCATGGTCCGCAGTTGAGATGTGGGATGGTAGTATCGACTCATTATCCTCCTCTAGATCAATGTTCTTCTGGTGCAGAATTTCCGTCGTCAACTGCATTCAAGCTTGTAGAAACTCCCAAATTCGAACAAGGGGGAGGTACCAGCTTCTCCTTGGCCAGCTTCTTTGCCTTCCTTCGCTGCTTTATCCTGCTCGCATTCGGCGTTTCAAGACGTGGTCGCTCTCCCCTAGAATTGCCCCCATCTCCCTCACCACTCTGTTGGGCATTTTGTCGAACACCTAGACTGCTCTCTGCTTCCTCTGGCGGTGAACCAGGTAGTAGCGGTCCAATGATTCCCTTCCGGCGGGAAACGTCTTCCTTAATCTTCTTCTTCCTCAACCTCTTCCTCTGAGCCCTAGATAACTTCTGGACGCCTCCATCTCCCTCGTTGTCGCTGCTCGGCGACGACGAACCACCTATCTGCAACCCGTAATCATCTGCATTCCCGAAACCCAGAAACCCATCAGATCGCACCTTCTATAATAAAGTAGAATTGTAAGGTTAAGCTTTCCCCAATTCATAAACCTGGAATAAGATTCACATCGAACTCTTCAGTCGGCGCAAACGCCGGCGTCTCATCGTCTCCCTTTGCCTGCTTCACAGTCACTCAAAAATTTTCAACGCGGGAAACTGCACGCACTATCAAAAGCATTTCGAAAGCACAAAATTCAGAGAAGCTTACCTCGCGTTCCGGCGATTGCTGATTACGGGATTTGAGGAGGGCGTCCAGGATTTTCTTCCGCTTCTCGGCGCGTCGCATTCTTACTACTGGATGGCGCTTTTCTAGTCTAATACATAGCCCCTAACTACTTATTTGCGCTGTGCTTGAATATGTTGAAGATCAATGACGTTGTCGACTTGAATGATCAGGCAGAAGGAGCTGAGGGACGAAACTTCAGCCAGCAGCTGGTGGAAGAAATTAGAAAAGCTTCTTCAACTTTGAAGTGCGATTCCTTCATTTCTTCGTCCAAGACGTAGTGAGCGAACGACATCACTTTGCTCATTGTCCTTAACAGTTAACACTTAACAGTGCTTAAGTGACCAGTACAAATAACAAGCTCTAGCACAGCTACCACCATTCACCAAGCTGAGGATTCTGCCATTTCCTTCTACCCTAAACCCAATTTCTACAGCCTAATCGAAGTATAAACAGCAGCATTCACGTACATAACAACACCGAATTCGGCGTATCCAGAAACACTGATCAGCCAGTAGTAGCTAATCTTAGCCCTATTCAAAATTTGTGCTGAAATTAACTAGTTGACTAGTTGTGGTATAAAAAGTTGCAATACTAACACTTGATCAAACAAAAAGGCATGAGCTCTTAAGGTAAGATAGTCGGTTCTCCGTCTAGAAAGCAGAAGGATGATATATGATCCGCCCAGGCCACACGAATTAAGCTCCTATATGAACATAACAATGATATACCCAACTGCAGAAAGCTAACATCTTCAAAGAGAAGCGTCTACAAATGCTGCAGCATTTGGTTAGGAACTGGAGATGGATGAATCAGAGTGGCTCCCCTGAAATCCACCTGCTGAACATGGCAAAACATTCCCTGGGATTATACTCCGGGGCAGTGTGGCCTCCTCCCTGGAACCTCCCCAAAAAGCAAATGAAATTTCAAACAACAGCCTTCTAGCTTAATCCGTACTATAATAGGAACCCCCATGCCCGAATATGAGTCCCCAGCAATATACAAAGGGTTCTTCAAGAATCTGGGGTGCCTCAACAGCCACTGCCACAAAGTCATCCACATACAAAACAAATTCAACCACTATGAACTTTATTCGACTTCTATCAGACGAAATGCGCTGCAAATTTTGAGTAGGATTTGCACCTTGGCGAGAAAGCGAGCGGTCTGATGGGCGTAAGTGGTGTCGCCAGTAATGGAGCCTTGGAAGTTGGTTGAGTAGGAGAATCCGGTGCCAATAGGACCATCCATGAGAAAAGTAAGAAGTACGATGCACAAGACACGACGATTTACGTGGTATCCTCGTTCCAACGAACGAGACTAATCCACGGAAGACCCTCTCAAGGAGTCTTCGACTGATATGTTATTAGGGTTTTCACATACAGCTGCATACCCTACTCGGTTGATAACACAGCCTTATATAGGTCACCAATTCCTTTTACAACCGGCCACAAGGAATGGTAAATAACCAAACAACTCACCAAGTAAACAAACTAAACAAAGAAGGTCAAGCAGTACGTGTTCTACACTCATGCACACGTACATGCTTCACAACACGCCCCCTCAAGCGGAGGCATGAATATCGTGAAGGCCAAGCTTGGAAGTCAAGTACTGGAACTGCTCCGCACCTAACCCCTTAGTAAACATGTCCGCAACTTGCTCCTGTGAAGAAACCTTCTGAGGAACTATCTCTCCGGAAGTAACACACTCACGAATGGAGTAGCAGTCCATCTCAACATGCTTCGTACGTTCGTGAAACACTGGGTTGGCCGCAATATGCAGTGCTGCCTGATTATCACAATGTAGCGGAGTTGGCGAAGAAAAGGTAACACCCAACTCACTAAGAAGCCATCGAAGCCAGACGATTTCACTGACTGTACTTGCCATAGCCCGGTATTCTGCTTCTGCTGAGGAACGAGCAACCACAGACTGCTTTTTAGTTCTCCAGGACACAGGGCAATTTCCGAGATGAATGAAGTAACCAGAGGTAGAACGGCGAGTACGCTGACACCCGCCCCAGTCAGCATCACAGTAGGCCGTGAGTTGAAGGCGGCCATCTGTGGGAAACAACAGACCCCGACCCGGGGCTCCTTTTAGGTAACGAAGCACACGGAATGCTGCGTCCTCATGCTCTTGACGAGGAGAATGCACCGCCTGACTAAGAATATTAACTGCATACACAATGTCGGGCCGAGTAACCGTGAGGTACTGCAAACGCCCCACTAGTCGTCGGAATCCTGAAGGATCTTTAGCTGCAGGACCTTCAATCCGAGTGAGATGATGGTTCTGCTCAATGGGAAAGGCACAAGGTTTAGCCGCAAGAGCACCTGCATCCTTCAATATATCCAACGTATACTTCCTTTGGGACAAGACCAGCCCACGACGTGAACGCGCCACCTCAATTCCCAAAAAGTATTTAAGAACACCCAAGTCCTTGATGCTAAACTGGCGATGCAGAAAATCTTTGACACGTTGAATGATAGTAATGTCATCTCCACCTAAGATGATATCATCCACGTAGATCAAAGCAAACACAAATGCGCTACCATGGCGATATGTGAACAGGGAATGATCAGCCTTAGACTGCTGAAAACCAAATTGCTGAAGAGAAGTAGTGAATTTCATGTACCAATTCCGAGAGGCTTGCTTCAAACCGTATATGGATTTGCGAAGACGACAAACCCGGTTGTCCCCCGGTCGAGCAAATCCCGGTGGAAGCTGCATGTAGACTTCTTCATGAAGATCACCATGCAGGAAAGCGTTGTTGACATCTAACTGATGGAGATGCCAACCACGATGAGCTGCAACAGCAAGCACACAGCGAACGGTCACCAACTTGGCCACCGGAGCGAAAGTGTCGTGATAGTCAACACCTTCGACTTGAGTAAACCCCTTTGCAACGAGACGAGCTTTGTAGCGCTCGACGGTGCCATCAGGATGAAACTTGATCTTGTACACCCACTTGGCAGCAATGGCTTTCTTGTTAGGAGGTAGGTCCTCGAGCACCCAAGTGCCATTAGCTTCCAAGGCGTCGATCTCACGTTGCATGGCCTCGCGCCAGCAAGCATACTTGACGGCATCATGAAAAAATTGTGGCTCAACCAGAGTATCAATAGCTGCCACAAAAACCTTATGATTAGCCGAAAGTCTAATGAAGGTAACATAAGCAGATAACGGATACTTAGCAGTAGTAGCCGTGTGAATTGAGGGAAGGTAAGAGTCATAACCTCGAAGGCGAACTGAAGGCTGGCGAGTCCGCTCACTTCGGCGGAGAGGAACATCGGCGGGAGCGGCTGGGGGAACCACGATCGCAGGAGAAGGCGAAGAAGTGGTGTCCGCCGAAGCTGGTGAACCGGCGGAGCTTGTCAAGTCGCCAGGAGGAGGAGAAGCGGCTGGGGAAGCCGGTTGCAGAGGCGAAGTGGGAGGAGCACCACCTGCAGGAGAACTAGCATCAGCAGCTGTAGGCGTGTCCTCATCGTCATCAGGGACTGGCGAGGAAGGCCTCGCGAGGGAACCGGGGCCAACGAATGGATGAATGTCGCTGGAAAGTGAATGAAATGGGAAGGTGGTCTCGTCAAATATCACATCACGAGAAGTGAAAAGCTTCTTGGTAGAGAGCTCGAACACCCGATACCCCTTCTAAGACGGAGGATAACCAAGAAATACACAAGGGCGCCCCCTTTCGCCAAACTTGTCCAAGTGAGCATGGGTATCCTTCGCAAAAACCAAACAACCAAAAGTGCGTAGATGGGTATAATGGGGTGGACGACCAAAAAGACGTTCATACGGTGTCTGGTTCCCTAAGCTGCTGTGAGGAAGACGGTTGATCAAGTAGCCAGCAGTAAGAACACACTCTCCCCAAAAACGCTTAGGCAGATTCGCATGGAATCGCAAAGCGCGAGCTGTGTCCAAAATATGTCGATGCTTACGTTCGACAATGCCGTTTTTCTGGGGGGTGTCAGTACAGGAAGTCTGAAGGCGAATGCCCTCGTCAAGATAAAAATCAGATTATATGTCTGAATAACCTGTACGGCGGACTGAAACTGGCGAGAAGCTTGCCGAACAAAGAGTTTCATGTACTTAGCCGCATCAGATTTAAACTTAAGAAGATAAATCCAAACACCACGAGTAAAGTCATCAACCACGGTAAGAAAATATTGAGCACCAGTCAAAGATGGGACTTGATAGCCCCCCCAAATATCAACATGAACAAGTGATAGCATCGTTTTTGCACGTGTTTTCACTCTGGTTTCCTGCCCATTTTGGCTCGAATTGATTGTTCCTTGGCCTATTTTACGCTAGGTTGTGTTCCTTTGTCACATTTCAGGTCCTAGCACATAAAGTGAAGCATAGGCGCAAGTTTCAAGTCAATCAGAGATCAATTGACGATTTGGGAGAAGAAACTCGGGTATGACCTGAAGAAGAATGGGTTTCTACCTCACTTTATGGACAAAGAATCATGCAAGCTTGTCATGAAAAGAAAGAGGACGAGACTACGAGCGTCTGGGTTCAAACGGCGATTGATTTGGAGTCCGGACGAGGGAGAAACGAAGTTTTGAACAGGAGCGGAGAGTGAATTACGGGCAGCCCCTGCCAAATTACGGCCGTAATTGGTCAGGGCATGCCCGTAATTTATTGGCCGAGCCTTCTACCCAGAATTCCCTCGCGGCGATAAAATTACGGGCAAGACCCCAAGAATTACGGCCGTAATTCCCAAATTACTGGCGGTAATTGGGAAATTACGGGCGTAACTCCTCCTCCTGCAGCTTAAGTGAAACGTGCGTTTTGGTGCGAATTACGGGCAGGACGTGATTACGGCCGTAATCCTGCCCGTAATTCGCCCAGAGTCGGGTTTTTGGAGGCAGATTCGAGCCAAGGAAGAGGAATTCGATTTTCTGGGCAAAAACAGAGTTTTAGAGAGAGAAAGAGCGAAGAACAAACCCTAGGAGCTATTTTGGAGTGGATTTCTCATCATTGAAGCCCAGATTGCGTCCCTAGGAGTGAAGATTGACATCCCAGAGCAGATTTTCCTCATCTTTATGAGTATGACTACTCTGATTTCTGTTTTCTCTTCTCTCTCTATGGAGTAGAACCTTTCTCTCACTTGGGTATGAAGAACCCTAGTTCCTTGTGTTAGGGATTTGATTGTAATGACTTGGGATGATATTACTGTTTGATTTTAATCGAATGATGCATGTTTCATGAATTGATTTGAGTCTGATCAGCTTTTATCAATTTCTGCTTCAATCTGAGATAGATAGAATCTGATTAGGTTGTTAGAGCCTCTTCATTCGATAGTAGGAGGTTGGCTATACGAGAGTTAGCTAGTTTACTGCTTTGTACTGGTGTTCTTGACGCCAGTAGTGGAGTTCTGTGTTCATAGCCTCAGCTTTCTATCCTGGTGAAGACTAGTCGTCTGCCGGGTAGTTAGACTGAGAGGGCTTGGTCAGCTTAAGAGATTCCAAACTACTGTCGGATCTTCCGCAGTCTAATCAACAGTTAATCAACCCAGGGAATTGCAATTGAACCTAACTAAGGGGCTAGGAGGACTCAATCCCGAGTGACTCTTACCTGCTTTTTTGTAAACCGAACCATTTACTGCTTTCTTACTGCTTTTGCTTTAAACAACAATCACTCGAATTAGTTTGCTAGATAATAGAGAATCACGGAGTAAGCAGTAGATCTAGACCCCGGGTTGATAATTAAACTTGCCTGTTACTGCATTCCCGGACTGCGATTACACTTGGTCGCAGTTTGGTGTTGTGTTTTGGCGTGTCAACAAGCTCAAAAGGCCGAGAGCTACGAATAGAACTAGTCGGAAAAACCAAACGTGATTGCTTTGCCCGTAAACAAGAGGAGCAAAGTGTCTTATTCTGTTTATGACTACCAGAAGATAAATGCAACAAATCAAGTTTCTCGGGTGACGGATGCCCCAGGCGAGAATGCCAGAGAACCGGGGAGATCTCTCGACGCGCCGCACAAGCCATCTCTTTGTGAACCTCGTCGTAAAGTCGAAGATAATAGAGTCCATCACTCTGGAGACCCGTCCCAATAATCGTCTTCGAGCGTAAGTCCTGTATGACACAGAAGTCGCTCAAGAAGATCAAGGCCAAAGAAAAATCCCGAGTGAGCTGACTAACAGATAGTAAGTTGCATTTAAACTCTGGAACCAGAAGAACACGCGGGAGAACCATCCCATTAGACAACTGTACTGACCCAACGGCCTCAACACCAATCACAGAACCATCCGGGACCCGAACCTGCAAGTCGGAACTCTCCCGATTTCCCGTAACCAGCTTGGGATCCCGTACGATATGTTCATTGCATCCTGTATCAATTAACCAGTCATCACCACGCAGGGAAGAAAGAGCGGAGTTACCTGTTGCTTTGTGATCGGAGTTGGACGAGGATCGTAGCTCGCCTCCAAAGAGAGTCTTTAGAGTATCAAATTGCGAAGCACTTAAATCGGGAATGGGGCTGTCGCTGATTTCAACTTGAGCAGCCCGTGGTCCTGGGCCTCCTTTGCCTCGATCAGCACCTTTGCGTCGCCCATCGCGGTCCTTGTCCCCTTTTCGTGAGCCACGATCCGGGTATCCGATTAGTTCATAGCAACGATCTTTAGTATGACCGCCTTTCCCGCAGTGATCACAAACAAAACGGGGTCGAGAGGGGTCGCTAGAACGACCTGCCGAGGACCCTCGTTGAGACGTCCGATCATCTTGGACGTGAAAAGCAGCCGCCTCAATAGTCGGGCGCCGAGAGCTAGCAATTTTGCGTTGTTGTTCATCATTATTCACCAAGTGATATGCTTCGGCAAGACTGGCCATGGGGCGCATGGCTAAAATCTGAGTTTTGACGGTAGAGAATGCCTCGTCAAGACCCATTAAGAAATCAAAAAGTTGTTCGCTGTTCTTCGTCTCACGATATTGCCTTTTGACGTCACAAGTGCAGCCACCGCAATGGCATTCAGGAACCGGGGAAATTGATTGGATCTCGTCCCAAAAGCCTCGTAACTTAGTGTAGAAGCTCGAAACACTAGCTTTCTCCTGCTGGAGCAGAGCAATGTTGCGACGCAATTCATACAACCGCGGCGCGCTGCTGGTTCCAAATCGACCTTCAAGGTCAAGCCAAATCTCGCGAGCAGTTCGAGCAAAACGAACGCTGGTACGAAGCTCCTTGCTCATAGCTGTCTTCAACCAGCCCTTTACCATCGCATCACACCTCCTCCATTGATCGAGGAGAACGCCGGCAGCATGCTTAGAGATGGAGCCGTCAACAAAGCCAAGCTTATTCTTGGCAATAAAGGAATCAGTTATGTCACCGAGCCACTCACCGTAATTCACGTCAGTAAGAAGCTCGCCCACAAACAATTGATTAGGGCTATCCGAATTATGGAGAACATATGCAGGAGGATAGACATCTCCGCTGCCCCCAACGGTGCCCGATGTCGAGTACGATGTGTCAGGTGATTTCATCTTCTCATCACCGGATTTCTTCTGCTCATCATCGGAACTCATGATGCCCAACGAAAATGCGGAATAGATCGATCACCGCTCTGATACCATGAGAAAAATAAGAAGTACGATGCACAAGACACGACGATTTACGTGGTATCCTCGTTCCAACGAACGAGACTAATCCACGGAAGACCCTCTCAAGGAGTCTTCGACTGATATGTTATTAGGGTTTTCACATACAGCTGCATACCCTACTCGGCTGATAACACAGCCTTATATAGGTCACCAATTCCTTTTACAACCGGCCACAAGGAATGGTAAATAACTAAACAACTCACCAAGTAAACAAACTAAATAAAGAAGGACAAGCAGTACGTGTTCCACACTCATGCACACGTACATGCTCCACAACAATCCATGAATATAATACTTGCTACCTGTTCATGAATTCATTCATCTCTATGTAATCTCAAACTAGAGGCACATATGGTGAAAAATAATCATCAATGGCATTACCTTTGTCCATGAATGAGGATTGAGAGCCAAAGTGGGCAATGTCCCATTATACTCCACCACTTCAAAACGCAAGGGACCTGTTGTTTTACTTAAACAAGTCATTTGAAAGATGTCATTGCTGGGCTCTTTCAAGGCACAACAAAAGGCCATAGCTTTTTGAGTTAAAAAAATTGCAACCTATCTCAAAGAGAAGGCCGGAAAGAGCAGAGCAGCCGGGGCCGCCGGTGAGCCAGAGAAGGAGAGGGTCTTCATCTGGGTTCCTTTCTGATTCGATGAAGTAGTAGTAGTAGTACAATAGCTCTCTCTCTTCTGCTTCTTTCTCAGCCACGTCCACGTACCTGAATCGGCCCAAACCCACAGAAAGTAGTCCTTATCAAAGAAAGGTTTAACTAAAAGAAAGAGGGGGAAAAAAACGCATAAAGAAAGAAAGAAAGAAAGATTGAACCTGTTTCGAGCTTGAAAGGAAGGGGGCCAGAAAACCCTGGCAGAGTTTCAACGATGGATGAGAAAGTAGTGCCATTGGCGCTGCCGACGACGGCGGACGGATAATCGGGCAGGAGAAATAAAACAACTGTGACTACAAGTATGAATCCTTCTTGCTTTGGCGCCATTGACTGATTGCATGCAATGGGTTCGGAGTTTCTTGTTTTGGTGGCTGGCTGTAAAATGAAAGCAAGCTTGGGCTGTCTGTAAGATTGTCAAGGAAGTTGTCACTTTCTGAGTTTACACGTGTCCTCAAGTAGTCCATTTTTTGTGGGCCAAGATTAGGTGATTAAGGGGTCTCTTAGTCACATGGCTAAGTGAATCTCACCCACTCAATCTCGTTAAAATCCAAGGGCTCCTATTAATCCAATTTAATGAAAGGCAATGTAGTAATTGCAGAATTATTTTATTTTTTAATTATAAAATAAAATATTTGCAGCGTTTCGCCTCTCCGTCCGTCCCTTGAGCCGGCAAGTCAAATTTTCGACGCAATCAATCTCCGTCGTCGGCCAGGAAACCTGCAATTCATTCTCGTCTCTTCCCTTTCCTGTCGCCGACAAGGAAACCTACAATTCTATCTAGTCTCTTCCCTTTCTGCCGACAGGGAGCTTCCGTTGCCGGCCAAGGCAATTCCTTGGTTCCTTGTTTCCACTTTTCAATTCCTCTTTACTTCCATTTTGAGAGAGAGAGAGAGAGAGAGAGAGAGAGAGAGAGAGAGAGAGAGAGAGAGAGAGAGAGAGAGAGAGAGAGAGAGAGAGAGAGAGAGAGAGAGAGAGAGAGAGAGAGAGAGAGAGAGATATTCGACGGCTGGAGCAAATTTCCCGGCGATAGTGTTGGATTTTGTGATGTTTGCTGACCTATTTTGTAATGTTTTTATAGATTCGGTTTGTATTGTTTGTCATTTTTAGTGACATTTTGTACGGTTAGTATGCTTTGTACTATTTGTTTGTAATGTTTGTACGCTTCGTTATTTTGTAATGTTTGTCGGGTTTTTTTGTAAACTTTGTTATTTTTGTGCACCATGTTTATCATTTTTGTCAACCATGTTTGTAATGTTTTTTATGTCTAAAAAACAACTTGGTTGACTTTTGGATGAAACTCCTCTATATATGAAATGGAGCCTCCAAAGTCAACCCGGGTGTTTTTTTCCAGTTCGTATGAATTGTCGGTCTAGTTTGTCATTTTTGTCCACCATGTTCGTAATGTTTGTATGCAATGCAGTCAAAATCACGCTTTAAAACTTAAAAACTTACGGTTTTACGCTTCTAGGTCACCAAAACGCTTTCGTTTCTATGTAAAAACTTTAGTGTATAAAATCATACTCAATTGCGCTTTAAAACTTAAAAACTTACGTATATACGCTTCTAGTTCACTAAAATGCTTTATGTTTTTACGATTTTACTTCACTGAATGGGTCTTCTTTTCATGAAATTAATTATAAAAAGTATATTTTAAAAATAAATCACCGACAATATGATATGTTTAAGATTAAAAGATACATACCAGATATTTGGATGCATTATGAACTTCAATAAAGTAATCTAATCACCATCTAGGCTCTTCTCAAATTCATTAGCATGGAGGGGAAGGTGACTTTTTTTATAAGATTTATATTTATGAACTTATTATTAAGAGGCTATAAGTTGCTCTACTTTATACATGAATTGCAAGTATTTATGAACTTATCTGAATTTTGTGCACTCATATTTTTCATAGTATATGTCGTACTTAACATATTTTTAGTTCTTTTACAGTATGTGTAAAAAACTTACGCTTTTACGCTTTAATTCTATGCTTTACGATTTTACCCCTTTTCCGCTTCTAGGTAGAATCGCGCTTTTGACTGCATTGTTTGTATGTCTAAAAAACAACCGGGTTGACTTTGAGACGAAGCTCTCTATATAGAGATGAATCCTCCATAGTCAACCCGGGTGTTTTTCCAGTTTGTATGAATTTTTGGTCTAGTTTGTCATTTTTGTCCACCGTGTTTGTATGTCTAAAAAATACCCGGGTATACTTTGGGAAGGAGCCCCCTCTATATAGGGATGGAGCCTCCAAAGTCAATCTTATTGTTTTTTTTCTTTTTGTATGGTTTGTATTGTTTGTCGGTCTAGTTTGTATTTTTTGTACAGTTCATATGTTTGTAATGTTTCTAAATCTGTTTTTATGTTTTGTCTTTCTAGTTTGTACTGTTCATATGTTTGTATGGTTTGTACTGATTGTAAGTCCGGTTTGTATACTTCATAATTTTTCATAATACCCAAACTACCCCTGTCATTAATTAAATATCTCTTCTCACTTTTTAACCATCAGATTGCTATATCCAGTTCTAAGGGCTGGGAGGGGCTTAGTCAAGTGACTAAGCAGCCCCTTACTCACTGGATCCTCTCTCTAATTTGCATGCCGGGCTTGACTCATTGCGATTTTTCGTTTTGCATTGATCAGAGAATGTAAAGCAAGTCGATGTTCCCATTTCGGCTTAATTAGTCTGTCTCCATGGGGTGGATTCTATATCTGTCATATAGGGGATAGGTTAAGGGTACATTGGGTGGTCATTATAATATAAATCTCCATAGTTTTTTAATTGCATGTTTCATTATTGGATTTACTAAAATATTTTACTTTTACCATTATAAATATTTTATTTCATTTGTAATCACTGAAATTAGTTCAACAATCCAAATTTGTTTATTGACAGTTCAACTCCAATGACTTTATTTGTTATCACAGTTAACTCTCATAGTTGATCACAAAATAAGTGTCGTGACTATTTTCACCTCATAGTAACAATAAATTAAATATAAAAACTATTATAATTACCAAATTTGAAAACCCGCCATTTGATGGGCAGTCTGTGAGGAATCCCATGCGCGGGTAGGGGGTATGGTTTTAAGAGGTGTGTATGGTGTGGTCTTGGCACCACATGGGGTGATGTATAAAGGTCTTCATAATCCAATGCTGGTGGAATTATCAACATTACGGAACGCAATCTGGTGGTGCCATCTTCGAAGAGTGGAGGCTGTCATTATTGAAGGTGATCCAAAGATCATTATTGATAAGGTCAACGCGGGTAGCACTCGTGATGCTGCTGGTGGGTCATTATTTGAGGAAAGTCGCACTCTTCTCTTGGCATCGCTTGGGATACATATTAGGTTTGTGGGTAGGCAGAACAATAGGGTAGCCCATTTGCTGGCTAAGAAGATCCTGTCTTTGTTTACTACGAGTTGTAATGCTTTTGATTTCCATGCTTGGCTTTGGTCGGAGCTAGGTCATATGTAATTGTGTTCTTGTTTAATGCAAGATAGTTTTTCGTCACATTTTATTTTTTTTGAAAACCCACCATTGTCTTCTATAAAAATTTGAGAACCCACTAGCGGCACCTTCTTTGATGACGAAGCAGATCAGAGCTTTAAGTAGTGGTGAGGGATTGTTCCCAAATAAGGTGGAAAGAAGGAGATGATCACTGGATTTGAGAAAATCGAAATCCCAAACCAACTACCATTTTCTTCCATCTGAGTCGCCGTTCCCAGAATCCTAAACCCATAACCATATTTTCCCATCTTGTCCACTTGTTTGAGGATGATGGGGTTCTTATAAGCAGTTCTATAGGCCCACAGAGCATCATCAAGGTTGAGCGACCAATCCTTCCGGGCATCGACCGTCTTTTGCAGCATTTGCTTAATCTCATTGTTTGTGAGCTCCACTTGTGCACTTGTTTGAGGACGATAGGCAATTGACTTCTTGTTTGTGATTCCCAATCGTGGACAAGCTTTATCAAATTGACTTTGGAAGTGGAATCATCTATCTCTAATGATAGTTCTTGGTGCTCCAAATCTTGTGAAAGATTGCGAAGAAATTTCACCACTGGTCTTGCTTCATCGGTTGGTAGTGCTTGTGCTTCCACCCACTTGGAAACATGATCCACTCCTATGAGTATGTATTTGTTTTCGAATGATGAGGATAATGGTCCCATGAAGTTAATTCCCCATACAACGAAAACTGCAACCGGCAGGATGATGTTCTGCGGTGCCTCGTTCCTTCATGTGAAAGTTCCTAGCCTTTGGCATGTGTCACAATGCTTAGTGTAAAGGTTGCAATCATGAAAGATAGTGAGTCAGAAAAACCCACTCTCCATCATCTTTCTTGCCGTCTGGTTACCACAATGATGCCCTCCTGCTGGCCATGAATGACAATGTATGATATTCACGGATTATTTTAATGAGATACACCTTTGGATAATGTTATCAGATCCAGTTCGATAGAGGTAAGGGTCTTTCCATAAATAGTATTTAAGGTCAACAAAGAAAATTTTCTTTCTTTGGTATGATAATCCATCTAGTAACTACTTAGTGCAAAGGTAGTTGGCTATATCAGCAAACCATGGTCATTGATCAGTCTCCAAAGCTATTGCCTTTAATTTTTGTCGGGACAGAATAATTAATCTCCTGTCTCTCCGGTTGGAAATAATTTGCTTCTTCAAATCAGGATAGATGATCGGCAGCTACACTGTTCGCTTCCTTTTTGTCTTTTATCTCTATATCAAACTCTTGAATTGCCAGCATCTAGTGGATAAATCTTGGTTTTGCATATGTTTTAGTCATCAGATGCTAAACTGCTTGATGATACGTGAATCCCGTTATTTTACCCATTGTATGGTATGGTCTAAATATGTTGAAAGCGAAGTGACGGCCAAGAGCCCCTTCTCTATGGTTGTGTAGTTCCTTTCTGCCTCATTGAGTGTTCCACTCCCATAATAAATTGGATGGAAGCATTTATCATTTCTTTGTCCCAAGACAGCCCCGACTGCCTAATCACTAGCGTCACACATCAGCTCAATTTACAATGACCAATATGGTTATGTAAGAATGGGTGTCTTCGTCAATTTTATCTTCATAAGCTCAAAAATTGCCAGTCAGTGTTCATCCATGTTGAATATGGCGTCTTTCTCTATGATCTTTGTACGTGGGTGAGTGATCCTTGAGAATCTTGGATGAATCGTCTATAGAATCTGACATGTCCAAAGAAGCTTCTCATTGTTTTGATAGAGGTAGGTGGTGGTGATAACAATAAGCTGAAAGCAAGAACAACACCAGATTTACGTGGTATCATCAGCGAGTATATATCTTTG